GGCATGCCTGGGGCAGCCTGGCACACATGTGGTACCAGGGATCAAACTCAGGTCTTTGTGCTTGCCTAGGCAGGTGCTTAGACCACTGAGCTATCCCCACGGCCCCAATTTTTTTTAACCTTTTTAGTTTTCAGTACAAAGTCTTATGCATGTCAGGTAAGTGCTTCACTATGAAACTACATCTCCACCCCCATTTCAGTTTCTAATGCATTCTTTTGCTGTTCTCTCCAAGAAATTTACAGTAAGAATTTATAGTAAAAATGATTCTTGCAAGTATTGTAGAAGAAAAAAACTGATATGTTACTCTGCTATAAAATTTATATATATCCAGTGTTAACAACACAGAGACACAGATGTTACATATTACTGACTTTATAAAAGAAAACAAGGGCCAGGGAGATAGTATGGCCATCTAAGTGCCTGCCTGGTAAGATCAAGGACCAGGGTTTGATCTCTGGTATTACATGTCGTGTAGGCCCCACAATGAGCTGGCCACCAAAACCAGGTGTGGTAGCACACCCCTACGATCCCAGTGCTGGGGAGTTGGAGACAGGAGGATCACTGCAAGTTCAAGCTGAGACCTTGTACCAAATAAATAAAAAGATTTAAAAAGAAAACAATATAGCCAGCTAATGTGGGGCACACCTGGAACCCCAGAGGTATGGGAGGCTGAAAGAAGAGTATGGCAAGTTAAGAGCCCAACCTGGAAACTTACTGAGGCACCATCTTAAAATTTAAAAAAAACCCAGGAAGGAATATAGCTCACTCTGAAGGTCCTAGACTCAATTCCTAGTATTATAGAAACAGAAAATACAAATACCAAAATAATTATAATAATCTACACAGTATTGTTTCAAATTAATGTTCCTGGGGGCTGGTAGATGGCTCAGTGGTCTAAAGCACCTACTTAGAACAAGCTTAGCAAAGCACAGGGACCGCGGTTCAAACCCCCAGCACCACATGCCAGCCAACCCCACCCCCTAGTGGGCTGAGCTGGCCACACAAACACACACACACACACACAAAATAAATAAATTAAAAATTTTTAAAAAAAACAAACAAATTAATGTTCCTGAAAAATGAGAATAACAGATTCACCATTCCTACTTTCCAACTTTTATAATTTGTGTATCTTATAAGATATTCACACAAAAAAGCATGGGCTACTTATGTTGGAAAAAATATGAAAATATTACTTTAAAAACGAACAGAAAAGCTGGGCATGGTGTCATGCCTATAATTCCAGGACTTTGGAAGCTAGAGGAGGAGCTGAGTTCAATGGCAGCCTGCACTACAAAATGAGTTGAAGGCTAATCTGTACTACAAAATGAAAACTGTTGCAAAAAGACAAGAAAAAAAAAGGTATAATGTCAGAACTGGGGGTCGACTCTGTGGCTAAGCACTTACCTAACGTGTGTGAGACTGTGGCTATGATCTGCAAAAAATAAAAGGTCAGGTTCATAAAACTCATTGCATTGTTTTATCATGTTAATGACTCACAATCACATTTAAATAACCCTAGTTATAAAACTCATATGGTTATTATTTTGTTTTCAATGTATTCCTAAAGATTTTTTCCATCTCTTCAAATCAACAATTTATGCTAACACATGTGTCTCAAAGTTTTATGCCTCTAGAAAAGTACTATAAGATATTCCAACTTCTGACCCTAAGTGATCTGCAGTTTACTGAAAGAAAAAAATATGCTCCAAAGGTCAACAAATTAGTAGATGATTACCTCTACCTAGATGGTTTATTAGTATGCAAATAAAAAACAACACTGGAGCCTGGCATAATGGCCAAGGCCTGTATTCCCAGTGTGAGGGAAGCTGAGGCAGGAGAATCTTGAGCTTAAGGCCACCCTGGGTTACACAGAGCATTCAAGCTGGAGAAGTCTACAAATTGAGACCCTGTCTCAGAGAAGGGGAATGGAAAAGGAGGGGAGGGGAAGGAAGAGAAGACTAGAGTCAAGTCGAGTTGAGTCCATGGGGGAGGCAATGCTCTGACACTGAATGAATACTAAATAATTATTTTAGAATTTTCAGAACAAGAATATTAAACAAAATTAAGATTAATAAAGTATTAGAGTTATCTATACATTAGAAGGGGCAGAGATTATTTTTAAACCAGAAATTGGGTTGTGTCACCTGAAAACAAAAAGAAAATTTGACAAGGTGGGCTGATGAGAATACAGAATTAACTACATTTAGAATCCAGTGAACTTTTAGTACTGTAGCACAGCTGGCTGATTGCAGAATAATGTGATTTTGACCAGACTGCCTTAAGAGGGAAGACAACACATGGGGATATTCTAACTAACAAGAGATACAAGCAAAAGATCAACATAGGTTATGATACTGGAAGTCCTAGAGTTAAAAAGGGGACCTAAGCTACATTTGAGTACAATGTTAGTACTCAATATAAGTGTACACTTGGAAGGTCATTGTCCAAAAAACAAAGTTGTTAAGGCATTATCTTTTTTCTTAAGAACTTAAAATCTAGCATAGAAATCAAAAAGTGACCAAACCAACCCAATACAATTGCAGTGCTACTTGATAAATGCTGTAGCACAACTATAGAAAATGCCTAAAGAGCTATCTGTAGAGAGGGAGAGGTTCTTTTTTTTTTTTTTTTTTTTAATGTATTTGGTTGTTACAGGGCTTCACCATGAAGCTTGGACTCATGGCAATCCTCCTGCATTCAACCTCCCCAGCTCTGGGATTACAGGTGTGTGCCACCATGCCTGGACTCTGGCTGGCTCAGCATGTGGTGCCCGGGATCAAACCGTGGTCCCCATGTTTTGCCTAAGCTTGCCTAAGCAGGTGCTTTAGTCTGCTGAGCTATCTTGCCAGTCCCAATGCTTGGCACCTCTTTCTTTTTTTTTTTTTTTTGCAGCATTGGGGATCCCATGCCAATTAGGTGCTTATGCCACTGAGCAGTCTCCCTAGACCCTTAGAGGTTCTTAAAAGAAATTGTATGAAAAGAAAAGAACATAAGGACTAAGACTGATATGAAAAATATATTATGCAAAGAAAAAAGAAAAAGATTAACACAAGTACATTTTGACTTAGTAAAATTAAACACATACTTTATCCAAACATAAGATTTTAATCGCTATAGTTAAACTCAGCTACAGAAACTGTGTCATCTAAAGTCCATTTTAAAATATGTAGTATGGGGAGGGCTGGCCAAATAGCTCAGCAGATTAAAGCACCTGTGCTGCCCCCCCCCCAGCACTGTTGAAACTGCAATTGAGACTGGGAGTGGTGGCACACGCCTATAATCCCAGCTCTTGGGAGGCTGTAAACAGGTGGATCACTATGAGTTTGATCTAGTAGTGAGACCCTGAACACCTGTAGACCCTTCCCTAAAAAATACAAAATAAATAAAACAAAATATGTAGTGTGGGGCCCAGGATATGGCTCAGCAGTACAGCACCTGCCTGGCAAGCACAGGGCCCTGAGTTTGATTCCCAGCACCACCAAAAAAAAAAAAAAACAACAACAACAACAACAACAAACCCAAATCACAAAATTAAATAAAATATGTACTGTGGGTTAGAGTGTAGCTCAGTGGTAAAGCACCTGCCTAGCATGTGCACGGCCCTCAGCTCAATTTGTAGCACTATTAAAAAAGAGGAAAAAATGCATAGGTTAAATGACCTAGTGAAAAAACAACTTGGAATATTTGAATCTCAAAGGAAAAGAAACTGGTAAAGCTCAGTAGAAGCTGGAAGTGATGATGCATGCCTGTAATCTCAGCACTTTGGTGGAGTACAAACCCAGTCTGGACAATTTACTGACTTAAGACTATTTAAAAAAAAAAAA